GAATCTCAAGGACCAAGCAGGTCCTCTAAACTGTCATTGGAGGTTATTTCAGAACATCACACACCCATGCTCAAAATAATTCATATTGCCTCACACAGCCTTATATTTTGTTGATGTACCACTAAACTAAAATTTACAACTTGCACATAAGTTTTCTATCTGCATGTGAAATTCACATTTTAATTAATATTAAGTTGTTGTTGTTAGTTGCCATCAACTCAGGGTAAACTGATGTGTTAAGAGAGTAGAACTGTACTCCATAGGGTTTTCTTGGCTGTAATCTTAATAGAAGTAGATGGGCAGGCCTTTCTGCTGTGGTATTACTGGATAGGTTTGAACCACCAACCTTTAGGTTAGCAGTGCAGTACAGTCTGTTTGCATCACCCAGGGACCTTAGCTAAAATTAATATCAATATTAACAATAATATTAATATTAATAGGCATACACAAACATGACCAGAACCACCCTCTTCAAAAAAAGTAAACAAAAAAATAATAAAATTGCTAATTTTCTTTACTTTTTTCTCTTTTTTTTTTTTTTTTTACCTTGTGGTAAAACTTTAAGGTAATTTCTTCTGACATTCAGTTCTCGGAGGGACTTCAGTTGACCAATCTGATGGGGCAAAGCTGTGATCTCGTTGCAGCTGACATCCTGAATCAAAAGCAAAGACAGATCATCAACGACTTTTTCCAGGAAACCAAGCATTTCATATAGGGTCTCCTTCAAGAATTTAAATACTAGGGTGGCTACGCAGAGAGGGACACTTTTATGCTGCTTTCAGATCCTTAGTAAGTAATGGTGAGCACAGAGAGAAGGGAAAGAAAGTTCTCCTTTGAGGAAAGAAAAAGGTAGACAAGACAACAAAGATGTTAGTGACATTTGACAGTGACTTCGCCAGCTACTGGCCTGCCACTTTCATGTGCTTCAATCTTACTTAATTCTTGCAACAAACCCATGAGGCAGAACGATTGGCCTAATATTTGCAGACATGGAAACTGAGGCACACAGAAGCTGGTAAGGCCGGCAAAGTGCCAGAGTGAACACTATGAACTAATTACCAGCCCACTGTTAAGCCACTGTTGCAGAATATTTCTAAAATGAAGGAAGATGATAATACATCCTATCTTACCAAACTCTCACATTGTACAGTAAGAACTGTGCATAGTAATATACTGTCTAGATGCACTATTTATTTAAAATGGAGTTCATACAGGAGGCTGAAGACCTTAGACCTGAACTCCTTTCCACACATTTTACATGTAAGACTCTGGGGTCTCAGAAGACTAATACTGTATTAACCCTTGATTAGAACTACCTGTTGACATGGGCAAAATGGAGGCCATGAAATGGACTGTTGTCAGCTGCCATTGAGTTGGCCCCAACTCCTGGTGACCCAGTGCATAATGGAACAAAACACTGTCTCATCTTGTGCCATCCCTGATTGGCTGCAGACTGGACTACTGTGATCCATAGGATTTTCACTGGCTTGTTTTGTGAAGTTGACCACCAGACTTTTCTTAGTCTGGGAGCTCCACTGAAACCTGTTGAGCATCACAGCAACACCAAGCCCCCACTGACAGACAGGTGGTAGGAGCACAGAAGGTGCACTGGACGAAACTGAACTTGGGTCTCCCACGTGGAGGGTGAGAACTGTACCAGTGAGCCACCACTGCCCCTCCATGAAGTTTGTCATCTTACATACCCTTACTTTCTCTTCTAGTTGACGTCTGACATGTGTGGCCTACTCCCTACACTAGCTGCCGCTTTAGTCTCTATCTGCATTATCTGTCAGCTAGACATGAGAGCAGCCTTCTATACGTCAATATCATCCCAGCATCCACCCTTTAGAGAGCTGCCAGAGTGCAAATTTCATTATGTTATTTAACGGCTTGAAAATTTGCAACATTAATCATTGTCTTGGTTCTCTACTGCTGCTATAACAGAAATACCACAGTTGAGTGGCTTTAATAAACAAGAATTTATTTTTTACAGTTTAGGAGGCTAGAAGTCCAAGTTCAGAGTGCCTGCTCCAGGGACTGAGGGAAGGCTCCTCAACTTTGGGCTTTAGCTCTGCCTCTTGGCCCAGGCCCACTGGAGCTAGAGGTGTCTCCTAATTCATGCAGCTGTTGGCTGCTGAGGCTGACAAACCCAAGGTGGGCAGGTAAAATGACACAATCCCAAGATCAGCAGGCAACATGACAAACCACCGGCTCAAGGAACCAGAGATGAAGACTCAGACCAACGCAGGATCCAAAATATGCCAAAAAGCTAGAGACTTTTCCCAAATATTCTCCATACATACTGTAAGCAGGCCACATGCCAAAGGTAACTCCCCTTCAACTGCTTAGCTACTGACAGTAGATTCCACCATGAAGGTGATTATAATTAGCTAGGTGCAACTTCCAAGTCACTCAAAACCACAGCCCAGCCAACCTGACATACAACCTTATCACAATCATGCAACTATAGGACAAAGTCCAAACTCCCCAGCAAGACACAGTATCAAAGATCAAATATACTTCTCAAGCACCATCTATACTGATACCCCCCACTGCATCCTACACTGCAGACATATTGATCCTTGCAGTTCCCAATAGGTGCCAAGCTGCTTCACATTCCCAAAACTTGTTTATGCTCTTTCCCCACCTAATATGCCATTCTCCAATATGGTCCCCTTAACCCACCCACTCACCCTTTAACATTACCTCCTCTCTGAAGTCTTTAGGAAGGCTTTCCCCACATTGCCCATTCCAGTCCAACATCCAAGGAGGACTGACACTTTTTCCTTTGTGGTCTTATAGATGTTGGGGCCAGCACCTGTTCCTTTGTCAACATGCTGCCTTACCCTATAGCCACTGGGCTCCCTGGTGAGAGGGACCATACTTTATTCACACTAGCCTCCCAGTGCCTACCAGAAAACCATGTATAAAGGGCTGAAAAATGTTGGATGAAATTTCTGACATCCACATATACTGATACCCTAAATGCTGCAGCTCCTTCGGCCTCGTGGCTGAGACCTCAAGATGCCCCAACTTACACACTTACATTCTTTGCAGGTCCTGCTTAGTGAGTGACACAGAACCACAGACATATTTGGGCAGTGAATGAGCCTAGTGAGGTAAAGTCCTCAAATATCTTACTTTATTTTTGAACTTGCAAAAAAAAGTTTCCTTTCCACCTTGAAGATCCAGTTGCCATGGAGTCAAGTCTCACCATCTTACCGTCCCATGTGTCCAAGAGTAGAAGTGTGCTCCATAGGGTTTTCAGTGACAGACGACCACCAGGACTTTTTTTCTGAGGCATCTCTGTGTGGACTCGAACCTCCAACCTTTCCGTTAGCCACTGAGTGCAGTAACTGTTTGCACCACCCAGGGATTCTCTTTTCACCTTCTTGTTGTTGTTGTTATGTGCCGTCGAGTCGGACTCGACTCATAGTGACCCCTCCTTGGGTTGTCGAGGCAGTATCACTACAGAAGTAGATTGCCCAACCTTCCTTCTGAGCAGTGGCAGGTGGGTTTGAACCACCAGCCTTCTGATTAGCAGTCAAATGCCTTAGGCACTGCACTACCAGAGTTCCCCTTTTCACCTTAGAAGGTGGCAAAGGCTGGTTTCAGAAGCCGGTTTCACATTCACTCAGATGACATGAGCTCAGTTACTCTCTCAGCAGTTCTCTAAAAAGCCCCAGGCACCAAGAAAGACTAGGGCCATGAAGAACACAGTCAATCCCTGCCCTCTAACCTCATCACAGCTAAAAATCCTCAGGTGACTTGACAAACTGAGAGGGCTCAATGATTACCATTTGATGCAGATGGACAACATCATTCCCGGTAAAAGGGAATGAGAGGGGGCACTGATGGTTCAGTGGTAGAATTCTCCCCTCCCATGAGTTCAGCTCCTAGGTCAATGGACTTCATGCACAGCCACGACCCATCAATCAGTGAAGGCTTGTATGTCGCTATGATGCTGAATGGGTTTTAGTAAAGCTTCCAGACTAAGACAGAGTAGGAAGAAAGACCTGAAGAACTGGTTCCAAAAATCAGCAAATGAAAGCCCTGTGGATTACAATGATCCGATCCCCAACTGATCATGGGAATGGCATGGGACCAGGGAGCATTTGTTCTGTTGTGCAAGAGGTCATCGTGAGTCTGGGTTAACTTGACTGCAGCCAACAAGAACAAGAACAAAAGGGAATGAAGCTGCAACTTGTAAAGGCTGACCATACACTGTACGATCATGCCACCATAATTTTCTTTACTCAGCAGCCTGACAGAGAGAGGAAGGTGGTGTGTGCAATGGTTTTCAAACACAAAGTGTTCAGTGGTATCACTCCAATCTGGTTGTTGATGCACTGTTCTCAGCCCAAAAAGTGACACAAAATTTCAAGGAAAATATTCCTAGTGTTAAAGAAAAAAAAAAAAAAGAAAAAGAAAGCCACCCACAAACACATCTATGTGTGGACACATAAAGGTCTAAGGATGTAATTATGGAACTAGGAGGTCTGGAGGACATTCGTTCAGTCACTGTCAGCCCCTAGCTGAGTCAACACACTGCTCTGCCTTACTCAATATATTTCCACACATGAGAAGTTAAAAAGGAAACATCATCTTTTCCCAATTACTGTGGCATTTAATCCATTACAGAAGTCAACACCCCAATCCTTTCAATGAAGGCTTTATATGTCTTTGCCTTACATTGAGTTACAAATAAGCAAGACATACCTCTCATTCTATTAGGAAAGAACTTGCACCCAAATGGTGCACAGGTGAGCCCTAGAAAGATAGGAAACCATTCTATTGGACTTAACTGCCTGGCCACTTAGGTGGGGAGGTGGGGAAACAATTAATGGGAATGCATTTCCCATCTCTGGAGAGAATTTATGTTACTGACATCTAAAATATGTTTTTCTAAGTCTTGTGAGTGACAGCACTGAGAAAGTCTCTTCTAGTAGATCCTGAAAATGATGGATTTTCAGTGGGAAACTGACAATTTTCAGATGTTTCACAGACATAATTACAGGTTTACCCCGCTATATGAAAGTACAGGGTTGGTGTAAAGCTAGGAGCTAACCACTTATTAACCATGAAATTAAGGTATGCTGTTTCTCTAAACATAAGGTAATTTTTTCAACATATTATTTCTAAGGAAATTGCTCTTTTCAAAAATTAATTCCTCATCTTCAATTATCTTTAACTTCTTATTTACCAATTGGAAAAATACTGACCTATTTTATTATATTTACATAAATATTTTTAAAAACTCATAATAAAAACAATTTTCTTCTGACTTAGAGCACAGAACATCTGTAGAACATTAGAAACACAAAGTCCAATTGTCTATTCACATTTTGAAGGGCATGAGGTGAAGGTAAAAAATTTTTAATAGTACCATGTACTCTTGTCAGTTACTTCCTGTCCTGAGGAAATAATGGAGGGGAGGGGGAAATGCCAGGCGGATCTGAGCACCTAAGAGAGATTGAGACTTTTCACTATTGTGTTTCAACTATTGTAGAAAACAGTATAATAATATTTTCCACTGGTCACTGAACATTGCCTAATTTTTAAAAGGTTATGCATTTCATTGCAAAAATAAAACTTCACAGGTAATTATGTTTTAACTAGTGAAGGGAAGAGGATAATTGTTTAGGTATTTGG